ATTTGGACACGCAGTGACGAGAGATGGGTGCGGGAAAAATAACGTCACTCGCGAACCGGTAAACCAAATTTAAAAAACGAAGGCTTTTTAAAAAGCTGAGAGTATGGCGGTAAAGAAAATTTTTACCGATTTAATTTATCTTCATTAGTTTCGGAGAAAATGAAGATATATACTTACTATACGAATGCCCCTCGTACCACGGTACAAAAAGAGAGCGGTAGTCCAAAAACTCACTAAGTCAACGTATGTAGAGTGGAGCAGCGTAGTGCCAAGTCGTGCTCTGGCGCCTACAAACCCGACATGGATACTTCACGCATTGCGCAATGCTTGAAGTATCTACTTAGGTTTGTAGGCGCCAAAGCGCGTTGCGCGCTGGTCGCCCGCCTGCCGTGCCACGGCGGCGCGGCGCCACAAGCAACTGTTTCACAACCGAGGTGTTGCACAGTATCATACGAAATTAAAGGTGCTCCACCATATTACGAACGATAGGCATACTTCAAGAGTACAGAGTTTTCCTCGCAAAATAAATCAAGATACTGCGGCACAAAGAGAGAGCGGTAGTCCAAAAACTCACTAAGTCCTAGCATCCGTATTTAATAGCGTTTAGCATAATTTTTGAGAGGCATAAGAGAAAAAAATGACTCAATTTAGGCAGAGAAATTCTTCAGTATGCCATCAAGAAGATTCTGTTTTGAATCAAGAGTAAAATCGCTGAATGAAAGTGGGTTTCTGCTTGATGTGAGTGACTCTTCTCTTTATGTAAGCATCTTTCCTTCTTTAAACAAAGCATTATTTTCTTCATTGATTCATTAGGAAATCTTCTTGGGGGTAAAATGCTTGAATCAACGCATTTTTTCCTCTAATGAAGTTCAAATATCATGCTAAACGTTATAAAAACAGATACTAGGACTTAATACGTTTTTGTGAACAGAGGGGTCGAAGTTTATTTTTTTAATTGAGCCTTATGCATGAATGAAACTTCAAACCTCTTTTCCTCAGTTTCAGCTTGATGTGGGTTGGTTCCTCTCTGATGAACTCGGTCCAGTTACCATCGGATGAGGGTGAATGAAGCATTTTAACTGAAGAATCGCCAGAAAAATGTCTCATATATGTAAATACACAGCTTGAAAAAAAATCCTCAAAATCGGCCTATTTTGCGACAAAAATGGGGGCTTTGGATCCTCGTAGACATGCGCCAGACCAAAATTTGACTATTATTTATGTTACTGAAGTCCAGTAGTATCGGGAATTTTGAGCAAAGTTTTAATTTTTATTTATTTATTTTTTTTTTTTGAAACACCGTAATGTATAACTCACGATCGCAGTCATTTCACATTTTCCCACCTTGATGCCTTTTTTTGCTTGACTCAATCACAAATTTTGGTAGTTCAAAGGGGAGCTGAACGGAAGAATCAAATAAGCGACTCAGACTACAGACTGCACTGTACCGCCATGCCAAAGAAAAACGCCGTATAAGCCATCAGGCGTTGCCAAATTTTACTTAAAAAATTACGAATTTTCAGGAAAATTTATGAATATTTCTCTTACGATTTTTCGGATGATGTTGTATGGAATTTCGCCTAAAATTCTTGAAAATTTCAAGGAAAAATATTCATAACTTTCCCTGAAAATCAACATTTTATCGAAGGAGATTTGGCAACTCTCGAATGTTCATACGGCGTTTTTACCTAGTGCGGTAATGTAGCATGGAGGCAAATAATGTCCCATGGTGCGCGTATGTCAAACACATGGGAAAATTCAAATATACCAGTATTATAAAGTTGCGACCTCGACAGTGTCACAGCGTTAATTAAAAGTGCGAGGAGAGCTTCATTGCATGAGAATCGCGTGTAATTAATAATAGCACGTTGCTGTCCTGCAAAAGACTATACTTCTCTCGTATCAGATGACCAAACCTTAACGTCGTCTCACGATCTTATATCTTTAGCCAGTCAAATGACCATAAACTGGACTTCATTTAGAATGGGGAACTACTCTTCTTGACTCCTTTTACAAACAACGTATGTCCGATTAGTTTCCTCTAGAGTACCTTTATAGACAGAGTATGGCCATTTCTGTTCCGGTTTTTCATTGGTCGCGAGCGAATAGGCTGACACGATGCTCTTAGGGCCGTAAATAAACAAAGAAGATGGCTGTTATCAGCAAGCAAGATTGAGGTTATGCACATATTACATCCTCCTGTGATAAAGGTGTAAGGCGGTTTAACAATAGTTTTCGTGTTTTTTTCGTGTGTTATTCGTAGATATGCTAGTTTAAATTGTTACTGCCGTATAATTGAAATTTTTGTCAAATTTAGCTTCTTATCGATGTTACGGTGAGTCGCCATCTTGTTTGTTATTTACGGCCCTAAGAGCATCATGAAGCCTAAAAACTCGTTGACCAATCAAAAAGCGGAACAGTTTTCCTGTAGTAAAAAGATACGAATGGCCATACTCTGTCTATAAAGGTACTCTAGTTTCCTCATCCAGTTATGTCATTGTATATGCATTAGCCCATAGAGAGAAAAAAAGAGGTATTTGCATTTCGGGCATCTTGGATTTTTTTGATGACGTAGGTCGGCACAGCGACTTTTATCATCGATTTTCTTGGAAATGGTGTAATTTATGGAAAAAAGTCATTCTATAAAAAGTGCTTGAAATTTTATCATGAGTTGATTTAAGCAAAAAAAATGGGACATTATGGTCCGTTTTTCATACTTCGAATTCCGAATTCCGCTAGCCAGGTTGTACCGACCTACGTCACAAGGTAAGTAAACGAACCTCAAGAATGCAAACACCTCCTATTTTTACTCTATAGCATTAGCCAGAAAAAGGAATTTTTCATTGCAAAATGTAGTCCAAATAATCGAACCTACATAGCTGGTCAAAAATACCTAGAGTCCTTTTATGGGGAGAGAGTTGAGACAACGCGACCTATGGATATCACAAAAGGGAGTAAAGATTACACAAATTGGACGTTTTTTGTAATCTTTGATCAACCCATTCCCAAATTCATGTCTTCGTTCCATCTCTCACTCCATTTGTTCACTGTCGTACCCCCTATTCCTCGGTCCATTCCAGTTTATAATCTTTGCAATAGGTGAAAATGTAAAGTTCATTCCCGTTTGTTACACTGTGAAGGCTTAAAAAGCGGGAACCAATCAGAAATGGATTCGCATTGTCTTTACTCTTAGTATAAAGGGACTCTAGTCAAAAACACGTCCCTATCGCGGAGCTTGAAAATTAACTGTTATACTCGGAGCAGACGTACACGATTTATTTTGAATCATCTTGAAAAGCCAGGAAAAATTTCGGGAAAAAAATTTGATCAGTTTTTGCTGAAGAATAAACATTAGTGAAACCTTCTCACTTGCAATGGAGATGTTGCATGTGTGATGGATTTGCGATTTGACCATCGATTCTTACGTAAAAGTTCGCGAGAAACACGATGGTGCCACTGGTTTTCTCTGAAATCATCTCCCAAGCTCAAAAAAAGCTCTCAACTTGAGGCCAAAATTAAGGGGATATCCCACGCTCTCCTGAGAGTCCACCTCTACATCGAGAAAAACTCTCCATGCAAAGATAGGGAACAAATACATTAGCAGGGTTGCCGTGTTTTCAATTTTGGAGTCCCCAAATAAAGTGGCAGCCCTGTCAATGTATTTGCTCCATATCTTTGCATGGAGAGTTCGTTTTGATGTAGAGGTGGACTCTCAGGATATAGTGGGATATCCCCTCCATTTTGCCTCAACTTTGAGAGCTTTTTTCGAGCTTGGGAGTTGATTTCAGAGAAAACCAATGGCACCATCGTGTTTCTCGCGAACTTTTACATAAGAATCAACAGTCAAATCGCAAATTCCTCACTCATGCAACATCTCCATTCTCGAAGGAGCGTCGGCACTTGGCAACACTGCCTCGGTAGCTGGATTAATCTCCACGCAGAGTATATGTGAGGAATAATAAATCACAATGATGAGCGCCGCACCATAATTTATGTTTTCTCGAGTGGCCATGGCCATTGTAGCGTCGGCTTCAAATTCGTTTGGGCAGTGGCTACTATTCTTGAAAGTAGGCAACATCTTTCCTCCATTGAAAACCATTAAAAATATCGATTGCTCCGGCGGCAGTCCACCTCACTGAAAATCGATTGTTTTACGTATATTTTAATTGACGATACACAATGTTGCCAACTTGTGAAATTGCCACTGCATTTGAGAATGATATCGGACATACATTGATAAAAATAGTTGTGTTCATGTGAGACTTTGACTTTTTGTTCTACTTTAATAGAGGAAGTGAAACACAAACCAACACAAATGTCGTGTTGATTTTGGTACGGTTTGCGGTGAATTTAGCGCAGAAAGAAATGGAGAGACCGGGAAAATACATTCCTCCGATTGCGACGTTGGTTTTCATCACTCATTTTTTATTACATTTCTTCAAGAAAACTAGCTGGCATTTTTGCTTGAAGTTGTCAACCGAGGGTTAGGGTTATTTTATGTTTTGCCCGTGTTAACCATACTTTTGAGTTGAAATTTCTCTCTGTGTAACTATACCGTCACCTTCCGGCCAAAGTATCACAAGCGCCATGCGACATTTCATAATTTCCGCCGCCATTTTATTTCTTTACTGAGAAGTTGTTCAACGAAAATGTCCGAAAATTTCACTGAATTTTCTTTGTGCTGCCGATAAAATTCAGTGAAATTTTTGAACAGACTCAACCAACACTTTCTCTGTACAAAAATAAAAAGGCGGCGGAAATTATGAAATGTCGCATGGCGCTTGTGATACTTTTGCCGGAAGGTGACGGTATTGGTACTCCACGACATGGTCAAACATGGTACATCGATGCGCTTATAGAGTCATTCACAATCATCTTAGGACTTAGCAAGGCCACCATCGTAAAACGTAGCATTCACATGCAACTTGGCGACATTTCATTGGTGTCCTTCTACCTACTGGCGTTCGAACTTTTCCTCTTCTCACCGACAGTCGTGCAACATATCTCACTGCCTTAGGATGAATTAGAATATTACATTTGAATCTTTTCAGCGCTTCATGTGCCTCCTCACTCCTTATTGTTCGAACTTGCGGTGAAATTGGTCTTAATTTTTGGCGCGGCCGTGCGGTCAGTAAAATCCGACGATTTTCACTGAATTGACTGTGGGGTCCAAAGTATTATATGAGTGGAATTTTAAAGTTTAGTGAATATTTCTAAAATGTGCATTTGTTGAATTCGGCGGGAGTCTCCGTTAGTTTTTTTGTGTAAACTTCTGGGAGGTGAATCTAGCACGTGAAGATTGTGATTGGTAAAACCTATAGATTGACTCAACTATCGAACATTCGTCGGTCTTGCCCAAAAATCAGACGGTCAATACTTTCTCCACAAAAGCATGTCCATACCTCAGATTCTTATCAAGGTAGGCATCTGCTCAAAATATGTATTGATTTTTTCCTCTTTGATTTCTCACCGAGGAATTTCCATAAGAAAAGGGACCTGTTGCACAATAATTTTTATCCATTTTCTAAAATTACTATAAATGAAACACCAACATTTTCCGTTTACCATTCAATCAAATTTTAGTTGAAAAAACTAGTTTCAAAATAGCCGAAAATCCAACTCCACATTAATGCTCAGAAGCGGGAAAAGCTGGAATAAAGCTCCAACCGCCAACTATCCCTTTTTCTGCGTTTGTTTATTTTTACATTCTGCTAGCAATTGTAAAAATAGATCAAGTACCCCGACCCTGCTTGCGATGTCATTGCTGTTTGAAATGAATATTTTTGGTGTTGCTTTCTCCTCTTCTTATTCTGTTCTAAAATGAAATTGTTATCAGAATAGCAGAGAAGTTACGAAGACCCGAGGAGAGTATTAAGTAACACGTGCCAACGTAAACTGATTCTCGTCCATTTAAATCCATTAAGAATATCGATTCTCGGTGAGGCAGTCTACCTCACCTGCATTTGATTGTCTTGTATACATTTAAGCGGATGATACAAAGAGTTGCCGTTCCGTAAGAATTGCCACTAAATGCGGGGTTTTACAATTTTCTTTCTCAGCCGGAAGAAAGTTCTCGTATTGGAACGAGACACAGTATTGATAGGAAAACTAAAATCACGAAGAAAGACAAATCGACGGTGTAAGTCGGTAATCACATAACTCGGTTTGCGACGTCGCAGACTTCCTGTCATACTTTATTTTTTCAACGGAAAACTACTCAACCGCAATTCTTTAAAATTGCCGTGATTTTTCTTCTCTGAGCGAAGAAATTTCTGCAAAAACTGCAAGGAATGATGTCAATTTGTTCTTTATTAAAAAAATAACAAAGAGGCGGAGATTTTCAGACACCACAAACGAGATATGTGATTGCCGACTTACACCGTCGAAATGTAGATTCTGGGTTTTACCATAAATCTGCCATCGACGCAATTCGCGCTAGCATCCGTTTAGCATTCTCGCACGTTCGGCAGACTGCCCAACGCATTATTCCGTGGCCATTAGCAGACGAGTTTAACAATGTTGGTGCCTATCACAAAATGTTGACTTCCCGCAAGGATTTTTTCCTCGTGCGATTTAATAATTCATTAGATATGTATCCACTATGCTGCCGTGCTGAGGAAAAACGCCGTATGAGCCTTCAGGCATTGTCAAATTCCTTTGATAAAACACGAATTTCCTGGTAAACTCATGAATATTTTTATTGTAATTTCCTGGATAATTTTGTTCGCAATTTCACCGAAAGCTCCTGAAAATCTCAAGGAAAAACATTCATTACTTTCCTTAAAAATGAACATTTTATTGGAGGAAATCTGACAACCTTCGAATGCGCATACGGCGTTCTTCATTAGCACGGTAGTATAATCTCTAATCTCGACTTCGGGCTTCTGAAGTTGTATCGTAACATTATGTTGATGACAAAAATATTATGAGAAGCTGAATAGGAATGAGACGTTTGGGTTATAAACGTGTGGATATATCGCTTTTTTATGACGTGGAACTTACAGCGTCTATTCCTAAGGCAAGCACAAGTTACAAGCACACTAAGTAATCCATGGGGGCCCGGCGGTAGAAACGCCTACAAATAAGCGGATAGGCAATTTGGGTGCCTCAGGAGTTAAAATAGTTACCTATCTAAAGCGCCTTTCACTCTCATCCTTATCTCTGTGGTTAGCTACGAACGATGACTCCTTCGTGGCGTTCGAGCGGTAAAATTGACGGCAAATAACCCTTAAAAATTGGATACATTTCCAAGATACTTATTTTAAAATTGCTTCACAAAGCTGGAAATATTTTGAAAATATAAGACGTTTGTGTGTACGCAAGCGGGATACCGATGATTGAAGTCGAAAAATGTTTACCTCCGACTGTAAAGTTATAAATCTCCGCTCATGTTTTATTTTTTACCCTTAGAATAAAATTTAATTTTTAATATAATTTATTCAATTTTATTTATTTTTGATACGATTTAAAAATAAGTGAAAATGAGGACTAAAGAGTGAAATCTGTTCCGTAAGAATAGAATTGGCTCTACAAAAAATGCGTTGATTTTGCTCGGCACTCATATATTTTGGGGGATTTCTGGGGGCAAAATAGGCTCAACAAACTGATTGTTGAAATTGATAGACAAAGAAAACAAGAAGAAAATGTCCTATGGAAGACGATCCTATTGTTGGAAGTAGTTGGGTTTAATAGACCGAGGAAGTAAGTAATAGGCTAACTAATGGCGAATCACGAGAGACTTCATAGTTATTTCATCATTTTCTTCCTGAGTCTTTACCAGTTGGTAAAGACCCGTTTCAACCAATAGGATTGCTCAATTTTCCCTAGGTCTTCTTTGTCTATCGCTCTGTCTATTATTTTCAATAATCAGCCCGCAAATGTTACTGCTAGAGCTTAGGACGTTTTGGACTTCCACTTGGTCTTTTCGGATCAATAAACTTGAATGGCCATCGTGGACGATCTTAGAGACTTTAACGACGGACTAGAAAAGTAGGCGAAATTCGAGGTAGAATATAGAACACTAAAAACCTAACTCGAGGTTCCCAAATTGACCTGTTCTGGGAAATGGGGCGATTCTATTGGCGGAAGCGAGTGGTTGCAATGGACAAAGTAGGTATAGGCAGTAGACTAACGAATGGAGACCTCTTAGTTAGCCCATCATGTTCCTCTCCTTTATCTATGTCGCGAACCACCCATTTCAACCAATAGGATCCCTCCGTTTCCCCTTATTTGTCTTCTGTGTCCATCAAATTCAATAACCAGACCCCACGAAAGGATTCATTCCGGTTTTCACTCCAAGTTTCTCAACAATGTACATTGGAAAAACGCCGTTTGTCAACGCCCATTATAAACAGTGAAAATGTAAAACGTTGAATTTGAACTTATTTGTGCCATTCAGATCACGTTTAGAGGAAACGAACCGAGCCACATCAGCTATTGTCAAATTCAATTGGGCGATTTAATTTTTTTATGAAAATGATTGTATACGTGCGGATTTTTGTGCAAATTTCAGTGAATTCAGCAGAGTACGAAGCAAATTAAACTTGTCTAAGAAGCCACACGAACATTCTCTTGTAAAAAATTAAATTGCTCGGATTTTGGCGATAGCTAATGTGATTTAGTTTCATTCTGTTAAACGCGGTCCGTTTGTAACATATATCGTCGTGTTCGACGCTCCGCCAGATTGCTCTAGAGGTCGGGAATTAAAACTCTAGACGCTGACCAAAAAAAAAAAAAAAAAAAAAAAAAAAAAAAAAAATTGACGAAAATATGTCGACTGAAGAAGTACCTAACTAAGTCTATATCTATACCTGAAGTGGAGGTATTCTCATCCGTTAGGTGGTTTTTTCGTTTGCGTCCGGAGATTTAACGACCCAAAATTTGTAGCGATCCCGTGGAGCTTGGAGCTCGGAGCTCAACGATTGACGTTATAATTTTCACTGTGCACTGGAAAAAAAAAACACATTGGATCTAGAGTCCAGACTCTTGAAAACATTGACAAGGAAAAGGACTCTTGATTCAATCAGATTTAGTTTAAATCAAAAGGAAATCCGCTCAAATTAAGAGGCTTGGCTCTTGACTTAAGCTTAAATCTGATTGAATCAAGAGTATTATTTTCTTGTCGATGTTTTTATGAGTCTGGACTCTAGATCCAATGTGTTTTTTTCCAGTGTGTGCTCAATGTCCATTTGTGACGAGCTAACAGAAACACGATGCAGATCTGACATAATTTCTTTTCTTTTCAGGGAGAACGTTCAGTATGATCTGACGCCATTTCAGGGAAAGTACCCCGACGTTTTTTGAAGCCAAGCCAGAATGGAACTCATTTCCATTGAGGAGGAGTTGAAGAAAAATCCCCAGTTGAAACTGGATGATATAAAGCTCTTGAGAGATTGGATCGACCAAGAAAAAACGGCGCCAACTTCGTTATCTGGTATAATATTCACGGCACTAATCACACGCACATTGCACTGCCGCCTCCTTTCAGTCTATACCAATTTTAAATGATTTAACAGACTGCCCGCTGAAAAAAAATTCTCGGCGTTTTTACCACGGTCCGTTGGTACCTTTACAATCTCACTTTTTTTTACCAATTATTGGTAATTTTACCAAAACAGACTGGTAAGCTTACCTAAAAACCGGTATTTTTACTGTTTTTTTTCAGGTAAGAATACCACTTTTATTGGTAATCCATTCCCGGTAACTTTGCCATTTTATCTCGGTATTTCTACCACAGTCGATAAAAAATATTGGCGTTTTTACCAAGGTCCAGTAAAATTACGGAGAAAGTTCAATAATTTTACCGAGATTTCTCAGTAAAATTACCAATTCTATAAATGGTAATTTTACCAAGAAAAAACTGGGATCAAAAAGAACCCTGAATTCTTAGTAATTTTACCCTTTTCTTAGTAAATACACCGAGATTTTTTTTTTAACAGTTTAAGACAGTTTTAAGGTGATTCCTCCCAGGATGTAAACAAACATCGATACATCGAACAAAATGTCGCTAAAATACGAGTTTTGCTTTTCACACTATGTACAAACAGAGATGCAGCAGTGTAGATGCATACTTCAGCAGTCTATTGGTGAAAAATCTCTAATCTACGAAAAAACCCTAAATTATAGCCTAATGAGACTATAAATGCGAGGTATCGGATTTGATTGGTCAAATCGCACTAGAATTTGCACGTTAAGTCTCCTTTCGATTTAATTTAGGGTTTTCGAGAGCAACTTTTTCACGAATAGGCTGCTGGAGTATGCTTCTACACCCTGGTAAAAATAGGCGATAGGAGCTGCGTTTCAAAATACCATAGGAATTCTTATAGCTGGCTAGAGAAGATGATGGAAAATCATATACCTGGCTGTGGAAAGCGGAGAAAATCACACAGCCGGGCCATACGAAGCGATAAAAAATTATACAGCCGTGCTTTAGTTCCTATCAACGGGATATACAGTTTATCGCCATCGGCTATAAAAGGCTATAAGAAATTGTGTAGAAATTCGTGTGCTTTGGAAATCATTAAGTTTGATACGGAACCTCCTTATAATATATACAAAACACACATGATATTTTCCTTTAATACATATTTTTTTCATCAATTAAAATGAGAATAATCCATACAGGATGTGCAAAAATTTCAAAATCATTAGTTGAAAAACGCTAACTCCGCGAGATTAAATATGAGGGCCTAACACAAAGCGGAGCGGCGACGCACTGGCGCCTACAAACCTAACAGGGATACCTCACGCATTGCGCAATGCGTGAAGTATCCTTGTTAGGTTTGTAGGCGCCAATGCGCGTTTCGCGCTGGCTGCTCGCCCGCCGCGCCGCAGCGTGCCCCAGTGCTTGAAGCAACTATTTCACACCAGAGGTATTGCACAGTATCATACGAAACTGAAGGCGCTCTAATATATTAGTAATGGCAGACATCCATCAAAAGTACGGAGCTTTCCTCGCAAAATGAATCAAGATACTACGGCCCAGAAAGAGCGGTAGTCCAAAAACTAATTAGTAACGTTTAGCATACACTTTATCGCCTGGTTGTTGATTAATCGCCATCAGCTATAAAAGGCTATAAGAAATCGTATAGCCAACTATAGGAGCCATAGGAAATCTTACAGCCGGCTGTAGGTCTATAGTATTTTGGAACACAGACCCCACTGCCAATTTTTACCAGGGCACTGCTGCATTTTAGTGTTTACATGTAGAATGAAAAGCCAACTTCGTATTTTAGGGTTTTTGCGTTTGGCCCAGATATCCCAGACCAAATTTTCATCAAAAACCAAAGTCTGTCATCGGTGTCAAACTCGCTCCTAATGTAAACAAACGAACGGCGACATAGTCCGGACATAAACAAAGCGGACCCAGAGCGGACTTCCTCGAGATGTTCCAGACTCAATTTCTCAGCGTTAGCGTTTCTTCACCTCGACAAAAGAACTTTCGTCCGCGTCTAACATTTATCCCTTTCGTAAAATCAAATATCAGTTACCCCGTTGATCTGTTCATGGTGATTTCAATTAAGTGAAATTGCGGCGAGATACCCCTGACTCCTAATGTAAACAAAGCGGCCTGTACCTCACTGAGAAAAAACTATGGCTTATAAACCTATTAGAGGTAAATATGGAACACCACTAATAGTAGTACCTCTACATATAATAATAGCACATATACCTTAGTTATGGTACGGGGTACCTTAATTAGGTACAGAGACCTTAGTATGGTTCACAGACCGAGAATCATTAGTTTATTTACGACTATTATAGGTGTTCCATATTTACCTCTAATAGGTTTATAAACCATAGTTTTTTCTCAGTGCTGGTCGAGATGTTCCGGACTCATTTCTTCATTTACGTTTCTTCATCTCGACCAAAGAAGTTTCTCGCGCATTCAAAGTAACATTTTCCGGTTCCATTGTTAGAGAAGAAACAAGTCATTCTGTTGTAAGTTAGGATAATATTTGTGTTGATTAAGTGGCTTGAGCATTGGACTACCTGGCTGCGCCTTGCATAGCTGCCTCTATATCAAGATGATTGGGAGAAAAGCTTACTGGTTGATGTGCGAATCTGAATCCTAAATCCCTAGGAACGGTAGTTGTGAAAACCAGACGGATGTACAATGCTAGGTACCTTGCTCCTCACTCACTTTCTCATGGATGTTCGCTGGTCTCTCCAAGGTTCTGGTTTTGCGATGCGTTGAAGCCAATGCTTTAAGTTTAGCTATAACAACCAGGCTTCGGAGATACTAATTAACAATCCTAGCAGTCACCAAATTCTCCAGCAAACCCGCATAGTTGTCTATTAACAGCTGAAGAAGCAATGGAAACCGTATTTACCTATGACAACAAGATTTTTTCCGTTAGAACTCTGATAGTAAGTATGAGGGGGAACTATCACCTTATAGGCACGTTTCTCCATGAATTTTCTTGTTTTTTGGCATCAAACTGAGTAGAACTCAAGGAAAATGAGGCAAGACTTTACAAGTTACCATGTAAGGTTCATCTGCTGAAAAAATAGAATAAAGTCTAAAATTCCTAATGAACATCACCAAGATGGTTCTGCCACCAACAGTTCATTTTTTAAGGCACGGATCAAATACTGTGGTTATCTATTATTCTCACGGTGCCCATCAAATTATAGGAAAGAAACCTAGTCCTGTAATAATAATGGCATGGAATTACGGGCTCTAATTGGTGACTTGACCATCCCTAATAAGTTATCGAAAGAATTTACTTCTTAAAAGATCACGAGTAGTTCGTTTAATTGACATGTAATTCACTTTTTCCAGACGTGCAGTTAGCTTTGTTCTTGCATTGTTGTGATTACGATCTAGAGACGACGAAGAAAACTATCAAAACTAATTATAGATGGCGCGCTGAACAGCCGGACTACTTCACCAGACGGAATTTTACATTGGATTCTGGACTGGCTCATTCCTTGGATACCGTGTTAGTGCAACTATTTACAGAGCCTCATAAATATATTTATGATAAATAAAATGACTAATGTATGCACATTTATGTCGAGGTATAGATGTAAAAACCTGGTGCTTCAAGAACGGTGGATTAGTTGATTTTCGTTAATTTTTTGGACAAATCATGAACGGACCACTCAAGAAGGTGCTAATTTGAGCATTATGATATTTCGGTGTAAGTCCGCAACCACGTATCTCGGCTTGTGACGTCGCAGACTCGCAGACTTCCTGTCATACTTTGTTTTTTAAACGGAAAACTACTCAACGGCAATTCTTTAAAAATGCCGTGATTTTTCTTTTCTGTGCGAAGAAACCTCTGCAAAAACCTCAAGGAATGATGTCAATTTGTTCTCCTTTAAAAACATAAAATAGAGGCGGAGATTTTCAAACACCGCAAACTAGATACTTACGCCGCCGATAATCCGCCGCCGTCTTTTCAAAATTTCACGTAGAACACAATTTTTACGACGAAAATTACTATAAGTAACTCCTACCGCACAATTACGCTTTACATAAATTAAAACTTCCCGCTCATAGGAACAAACAATAATCTACTTGAGTTGAATCGCAAGCTAAAATTACGGCGGCTGTCTTTATGGTATTATTTGATGATTAATGCATGCAATGAATGCCGAAATTAAGCGAGCGATAAAATAAGTTCCGTGTATCAGAAATATACACAATATGAGTCGCAAATTAAAAGAAAATTACAACTAATGTCAATTTGATTGCCATTAATTATTAAACGAGAGAAGCTCCTTCAATTAGTAGATAGGCAACATACACAACACTCGACTCAGTTGCAGTATTTTTCTTTCACCGTTTAATCGCAATTTATTGCAACGAGCCCTTTTTGGGTGACGGAGTTTTTTTTATTGCACTTTGTCCAGCTTCCCATTGGGCTGCTCACCGTCCCTGTCAAAACGGTCCAATGGGGGCCAATGAGATTCCCCGCGGATCCCTATGGGTTGAATGAAGTGACCAATAGGAACGCATGGCCATGGGCCAGAGTGACCTATTTAGTACAGTAGACACTTGACAGGGATGTGTTACTATCTCGATCTCTTGTCTCTTCTTGGTTTTAATTGATATAATAATTGGTTCCTCATAGGAGTTTCCTGCTTCTACCGAAGCGATCGACCGCTGACGAGCTGATCATCGTGGCCCGAATCAAAGACAACGACCCAAAGAGTTTCCTCATGCTCGAGTCGGTGAAATTATTCTTCATGTTCATGGACATGGTTCTGGTTAAACATGGGAGCAGCAACGGGGTGGTTATCATCTATGACTGCGAGCCAATTACCTTTGCCCTGGCTCGTAAAACCCAGATCAGCACCCTCAGGGCACTCCTTCACTTTCTCCAGGTTAGTATACTCCCGACCGCCGCATGCTTTGCCTTGTGTCCCGTTGTGGATGTCACAATGGAGATGTTGCATGTGTGAGGAATTTGCGATTTGACTGTTGATTCTTATGTAAAAGTTCGCGAGAAACACGATGGTGCTACTGGTTTTCTCTGAAATCAACTCCCAAGCTAAAAAAAGCTCGCAAGTTTAGGCCAAAATGGATGGGATATCCCACCCTACCCTGAGAGTCCACCTCTATATCAAAATAAACTTTCCATGCAAAGATAGGGAGCAAATACATTCGCAGGGCTGCCACTTTATTTGGGGACTTCAAAACTGAAAACACGGCAACCTTGTTAATGTATTTGCTTCCTATCTATGCATGGAGAGTTTGTTTTGATGTAGAGGTGGACTCTCAGAGTAGGGTGGGATATCCGCTCCATTTTGGCCGTACTTAGAGAGCTTTTTTTTTGAGCTTGGGAGATGATTTCAGAGAAAACCAGTGGCACCATCGTGTTTCTCGCGAACTTTTACGTTAGAATCAATGGTCAAATCGCAAATCCATCACACATGCAACATCTCCATTGGACCGCGTTTAACAGAAAGGAACCAAGCCACACCAGCTATTGCCAATTTTAACCGGGCAATTTAATTTTTTTACGAAAAAACGTTTCTGCGGATCCCTTTGAAAATGTTAAGGAATTTGCTTCGTACTATGAAAAAAGTTCACTGAAATTTCAAAGGTTTTTGAAACATTCACACTCAAGGTTCCTTTCTGTTTAAAGCCGTCCAATTGGGAGTAAAGATCGCATTGATCGGACGATTTTTGTACATAGTTTACATCAGATTTAATTAAAAAACTTTGATATTTCAATTTACTTCTAAATTCTTCTTTATAACTCTTCTCATTAAGTTACCCCACTGTGTTACGCGGACACCCTGTGTATCGATTCTTTTCCATAGATTTAAATGGCAGATCAATCGATATATCGCGAAGCACGCCACACCACAGTTAAAAATGCTACATTAAATCTCGCATTTTAAGATGTTAAAGTTAAGACATACAACGGTGATGTTTTGTTCTCCTCTCATTCATACATTTTTTGTTTCAGGAGGCGGTTTCCTTCAAAGTTAATGCGATCCACTACATGAACGTAAATGCAGCTTTCAACTTCGTTTTTCAGTTATTTAAACCATTTGTGGCTAGCGGCTTAATAAATAAAGTGAGTCTATATTTAACCATTTCGAATTGAATTTTTTCACAGATCCTCGACTACGCAGGGAGAGGAAAAACGATTCCTCTAAACGGAACTCTTGACCTTGATGATTTGTTTCTTGTTTTTTATGATTTTAAATGACAGTAACTCGTGCAGAGTGTGCAGACATTCCAAAATCACGAGTTACAAAACGCTAACCCCGCAAATTTGAGTATGAGAGCCAAACTCAACGATGCGGCCAGCGCGCGGAGCGCGTGATAGCGCCTACAAGACTGTTTGGATACCTCACGCATTGCGCTTGCGAACCGTGATGTACGCGCAATACGGGAAGTATCCTCCGCGGTGTATGCGCAATACGGGAAGTATCCTCCGCGGTGTATGCGCAATGCGAGGAGTATCCATGCAGTTTTGTAGGCGCTAACACGCGTGCTGGCTGAATAGGTGTGTGGGGATCTAGTATTCAAACTCGCGGGAACAGCGTTTTTCGACTCATGATTTTGAAATTTTTGTGCACTCGGTATGGTTCTTGTCATTTAAAGTGATAAAAAAATTAGGTAGCAAAATCCAAACAATTTTCTATCTTTCTTCGCATGTTCATTAAATCATACTGAAAAAATTCCAGATAACTACTTAAGAGGATTTTCAGGTCTTAAGATACGAGAATAAAGGCAGGAGCCGCGGGAGAGAAGATAGACCCAAGTAGCATTTTTCGACGGGAAAATTACGATATTTAGAAATCAAGTTGCACATTTGTTAGGATTTTTTGGCGATAAAATCGCTAGGATCATCAACATCTGAGCGATTATTCTCAATCTTGTCGCAATTTTATCTCTATATAATCGCGTTTGGTAAAATCGAACTTTAATATCAATGTATCACGTTTTTGCTCGATAAATCGATGAATTTCGATAAATCGTCGTCGAAAAATAGCGATTTTATTGAAAATTTATACTACGAAAAGCACTTTTTCATCGGATAATATTGCAATAAATCTACGTCATCAAAATCGCGATACATTCTCGAATCAAGTCGCAACCGCAACTTATGGCGATCACTGCTACGGGGAGGGTCTCTGACAATGTGTTTTTGTAAACACCAGATAACTTTTCAAAATTTCTTTCCACAGTTACACTTTCACTCTCCAGGATCTTCTACAATTTTTGCTGATTTGGCTCCAAATTCGGTACCCAAACATTTCAATGGAGAAGAAGAGACGTCTTTCGTTCAAATGCATGGTGAGATAGCATTATTTTAATAAAAACCAAAGAAATAATGTAATAAAAAATTAAATTAATTAATTAAATTATAAAAAAAATTCAGAAGATAGGATTGGTTTAGATTGAGTAATCTGACTTTGTGAATGTCTGTGCAGACGGCGCTAAGGGAAGGATAAAATTGCATTTATATACAAAAGTGTTTTTTTAAATAATTTTTATTGGCGCAACCCATATTGCCTGATTTGTGCTGCCGTTTAAGAATATGTTTTTTCCTCAATCTTAAATTTTTGTAGTTCAATAGTTCTCTATTATTTTGTACTTCAATATTTCCCTATGTTTTAATATTATATGACTTTTGCACCTGAGTTTTAAAAGATATATTTGCTTGCGACCCTAAAGTCTAAATTTTTCTAAATCAACATTTTTGCAGTTTTTCCATGCAGAAAAAGAGGATTCTCATGATTTATTCTTAAACAAGCGTGTGAGCGAAAACTTTACCGATTGCGTGAAGCACAACTCCCATTTGTTACAGAAAAAATGGAGGAGGATCTCAAGTCATTTCTATTATCTTATTTTCCAATATTTCTATATCTCTTAATATTTTGTGACTTTTTGCACGGGAGTTCATAATAAAGAAAAAAAAAAGAAAAAAATTCTTACGATCCCAAGCTCTAAATTTTTCTGAATCAACTTTTTTGCAGTTTTTCCATGAAGAGAAATGAGATGAGTCAAAGAATTCTCATGATGCATTCTTGAACAAGCATGTTTGCCAAAAAAATTTTGATCGTAAACCACAGCCTCTTTTTGTTACAGAAAAAATGAAAGAGGGTCTCAAGTCATTTCAACCATGGTTTGAGAAGGAGGAAGCGTCGTTGATGACATTTATGCAAAGTTTGGAATCGGAAAAACAGAAAAATGGCGATTTATCTGAAACAATTGGTTCTTTTCGACAGCTAGACTTTGACTGAGAAATCTCCGGCCTGCTCTTCTATTACAGCCAAAGACATAAAGACGGAGCGCTCGTATCTAAAAGCACGGGGAAAAAGTGAAGCTAGGTTCGGCGCTGCGCGCTTGTGTGAGTGTGTAAATGAGCGCGGGAATCCATGGCGGCAAACGGAAATTTGATTTGAACTTGTCCTCTTGATTTTTCCTTATTTCTTCTTCGAAACGTGTTTTAAATGCTTAAAACGATTATATTAAGAAAGTTCGGTCTGCGTCCTAATATATTACACCTACTTTTGCTCGGTAACAGGCAGTAATCTCAGATAAAGTTAGTTTTTCTTCTGCTTATGGTGGTTCTGCAGGTTCAAACAGGCCGTTACAGTTCTAGATCTACGTTACTCCCAAATGAAATCAGTCGGTCGACGACGGACCGAAACTAACCTAAAGTTAATAAAATATGAGTGTGTACCTGAATTTGGGCAAAAATCAACCTAAAATACTTTGTTTCCGCAATTTTATTTATTAGTTCCCGCCCTACATTTGAATTCAAACTTGTCCCGATTTCGCCGCCAATCCTCTAGCCAATAGTAGAGGTGATTGAAAAGAAGCTCTAGAAGCTTCATTTTTTGCTTTTAGTGCTCCGTCTTTATGTCTTTGATTACAGCACGCATTAGGCGTCAAGAGATAAAACCTAAGAGCTGCATGTGTTGGAGTTCGGGAACAGAGACTTAGGGTGTGGGGGTTTGTTTTGACCTGATTATAGATTTACTGTTCCTTATAGAAATTGGCTCCACATAGTTCGTAGGAAAGAATACCAAAACCAAAGAGGACAGACATTTCACAAAAAAAACAAGCATCAATAATGCATTGTGTGCGATGATAAAATAAGAGAGTCACGCTTTTCAATTGCTGAGTTTCAAGATCTCTCGATCTCACTTCGTTGATTATACTTAAACTTATTTCTCTTAATATTAATTCAGCATCAAGCATTTCAAAACACACCAGTCAGTTCCTATTTTCAATATTTAACGAATGAATTTTGCTCTATATATAATTTCTATGAATCAGTTTCGAGGTTATATCATTTGTTTTTAATGACCTTGAATTTCCGCGAGTTCAGAACCTTCTAATAATCTTGTAGGTAATCGATGAATAAACATTGTTGGCGTTCAGAAAAGAAAAGTATTTTCCGTATTTATTTCCGCTTTATCTCTTTTCACTACAGATAACTGCAGGTCATAATATGACTTGTGATTGTCTTCAGTTCTTGGTCCATTTAATGATTCCACGCAGTCAATTTCGTAATTGGATCGGAAGAACGTTGCAAGATTATCAGTGAATCAAAATCGTGCAATTTTATAAATGATTGGACCGCTTTTAGCAGAAAGAAACCAAGCCACCTCAGACATTGACTAATTTAACTGTGCAATTTAATTTTTTACAGGAGAATGTTTATGCGGATCTCTTCGAAAATTTTACAAAATTCGCTTTGTACTATGTAGAAAATTCACTTAAATTTGTACAAAACTCCGCACGTCCGCTTTCGTGTAACAATATAAATTGCCCGATTAAATTTGGCAATAGCTGATGCGGCTAGGCCCCTTTCTGCTTAAGACGGTCCAATTGCAAGATTTTATCAACAGCTAATACAATTAGAATGAAAGTATTCTGCAAACGCAGCCCTCAATGATATTAACAGATGAATTTCCCATAGAGTTTTCTGAAAATATTTTCAATCCCAAAACTTGAAATATTTTCTAAAAAGTGAGAAATGTTTCTCTTCTAACAGAGAGCACCCACGTTTTACGTGCTTGCAATGTTACGATAACAACTAGTGGTCAAACTGCGATGTCACGCATCTCTGTCTCAGAGTCACCTGTCACGTTTCACTTTTTTGTGGGAGAGAATAATGTTGCATGTGTGAGGGATTTGCGATTTGACTGTTAATTCTCATGTAAAAGTTCGCGAGAAACACGATGGTGCCACTGGTTTTCTCTGAAATCATCTCCCAAGCTCAAAAAAAGCTCTCAAAGTAAGGCCAAAATGGAGGGGATATTCCACCCTACCCTGAGAGTTCACCTCTACATCAAAACAAACTCTCCATGCAAAGATAGGAAGCAAATACATTGACAGGGTTGCCACTTAATTTGGGGACTCCAAAACTGAAAACACGGCAACCCTGCTAATGTATTTGCTCCCTATCTTTGCATGGAGAGTTTGTTTTGATGTAGAGGTGGACTCTCAGAATAGCGTGGGATATCCCCTCCATTTTGGCCTTAACTTGAGAGCTTTTTTTGAGCTTGGGAGTTGATTTCAGAGAAAACCAGTGGCACCATCGTGTTTCTCGCGAACTTTTACATAAGAAACAACCGTCAAATCGCAAATCCCTCACACATGCAACATCTCCATTAGTCAACATACAAAATGTTTTGTGATTTCTTTGCTTCTTTGAGAATATCTGCGACTGCCGGGCATGGGAAAACGGGGCTTAAAATGAGAGGCGAAATTTTCCAGGAGAGCGAAAAAACGCGATTCAGGTCAAAATGATCGATTTACCTTTTTTTTTTATTAAAATCAATGTTCAAGATTCTCAAGAATATTGTATTTCAAAGGAAAATAAGTATTATCAAGAAAGTTATAAGCACTTAAAATGAACAAAATTGGAGGTTGGTAACAGAGTGTCGTCTCCACTTAACTGCGGTTTTTTCGAAATCGCAATTTTTTTACGGCAAATTCTGAAATGCTCAGGAATAGTTAATTTTAGGGTATTCAAACCGGCAAATGGTACGAAATTAATCCCTTTCAGCAGTGTGCACTTATCTCCATTTTCTCTTCTCCACCTCATTTTTAGTGTATTTTCCGAAGGAAATACACTATTTTTACTTTGCGTTCCCCCTAGGTCTGGTCACATTTAATAAAAATCTCATGCAAAAATGCACAGTATCACTTAAAAAATCAAGTAGGAGTGACGCTTTGAAGCACCGAAATCGAGATACGTTCCTGCTCTCGTGGTTCCACTATCAAACTGTGCGATTACACTACCGGCTCGTTCAGTTCAGATGTTTGGCTGTGAAACCACTTAAAAGTAGACTGAATTACACTCTGCCCACAAACTCAGAAGGTTATCAATCCAAAACCCAGTTACACAGAATGTCTCACTGTCTACGGATAGTTTAGATTTATGCGCTTGCACATACTTCCGCCTTTCTTCTTCTTACGTACTGTCCTTCCGACTTGCAATGTAACGAAAGTTGGTGTTTCTGCAGGCATGCAGTCATTAAGTACATTTCGAACGATCTGTAAAACATTCTCTACGTGATTAAAGTGATCTTTCATGAAAATTACCAAAGTGAAACTTTGAACTTTTAAGCTTTTCTGCGCACGTTTGTGAAATTCGGCAAGTGATTTTGCTAGTTATTGTGACTTTTCCTTGAAGTGCATTGAGTGAATCAAGTACATATGATAGAATCTGGTGTTGAAAATACTTGGTTGGATTTATTATTAAACAAAATAACCTGTTTCAACGGCAGTCGGCACCTAAAATTCGCCGAGAATTTTGCTTTTTGTCTGTCCGAAGAAATAATGTTAACTCCGGTTTCTTTTTAAGGTATGAATTTCACTGTTGTGCTTTCCGTATAAGTTCTACATTTGTTTCTCAATTTTAATTTATCATAGTTAAGAGCACACCCGGCGCGCAGCGTAGGGGATCAAGAAGTTTAATACTTGTTAAATTGGCGAAAAAAGACTTAGACTCAAAATTCTGTTATCATAGCCCTTTAAATGCCAGCTCACTTGCTCTGAAGAAAGTTCAGCTAATTTTACGGCAGTAAAGGTTAAAGCGACGTTGTAAGGAGATGCAATTTTTCTGAAAGTTATTTCCTGTGTATACGCGCATCTCGTTTCCAGTATTTCAAAATCGCTCATAATTTTTATTTTTTATTTATTTTGTTTTTTGACAGGTTCTGGTAAACAGCTGAGACAACTGGCGTGTATCCCAAAACTACGTCAAAATGGAACTCATTTCAATCGACGAGGAGTTGAAGAAAAACCCGAAACTGACGCTGGAGGACATAAAATCTTTGAGAGATTGGATTGAGCAAGAAGGGACTGCGCCCAGGACAATATCAGGTATAATAATACTTATGAGATTCATTCATAACTCAGGGGCTACTACGCCCCGCCTCCTCAAGTAGCATTTCTCACCAGAAAAATCGCTATATAATATATTGCAATTTTATCAGAGATAAAATGGCCAGGATCGTCAACATCTGAGCGATTATCTTTGATCTTATCGCGATAAAATCGCGCCCGGCAATTTATCGCGAAATTTTCGAAATAAAAATCTCGATAAAAAGCGATTTAATCTCGATTTTATCGACGGTAATTGATCACGATTTTATCGAACCAAAAATTGCGATGTGAAGCGATTTGATCGCCATAAATAGCAATTTTTTATGCGATAATATTTCGATATATTGATACCGATATAATCGCGATAAGCAACCTATAAAATCGCTATTTATCGTGATCGGACTCCGAAGCTACGATAGTACATTTTTCTAAAATTTTGGCCGTCCAAAAATAAAATTTTTCTGTCTCTTAATCCCAATCGGTTGATCGAATTAACTGAGCACCTCTTTTTTCAGATGTGCAGTTAGCTCTGTTCTTACATTGCTGCGATTACGATTTAGATACAACGAAGAAAATCATCAAACTTAATTACAGATGGCGCGCTGAGCAGCCAGACTACTTCACAAAGCGAAATTTTCAATTAGACACCCGACTTGTGCAAACCTTGGATGTCATGTAAGTATGAGTATATGAACAGAAGTTACAGATGTAGGACGGTTTTAACCCAGACTAGCCTTTTGGCTGGTTATGGAGAGTGATAGACAATAAGCAATAGACGAAGGAGACAAACGGAAAATGGAGCAATGGAGGAGCTTGGAGGACAAGGCGCATAGAGGCAGTTTTTGAAAAAATTGAGATAGGTATTAAATGATTTCAAGTAAAACTAGTCTTAATGCATATTCTGACAAAAATTCGCTCCCAAATTCCAATTTTTAAGCATCAAAAAGTCAGTTTGAACTATTTATTTACGCCATAAGGATCCTTGTAATTTCAAAACTTCAAACACGTATTTCTCGAAACAGCAAAAACTGCACTTATGAAGTGGCTAGTTGATATAGAGTAAAGTAATAATGGTGTACTAACTATATGGTCTCTAATGGATTGCTGCTAACAAGAATTACTTGTATCCTTTAGCATTATTCCTCCGGAGAGCCGATGAAAACAATACTTTCAAGTAAAAAGCCGCCCTTTTCTGCCAACTCCTAACCTGAAAAAGTGTTAGTTCGTTTGTGTTGAAATCGGTGGATTTTAAATCATCCAAACAATTTCTAGGAGTCTTTCGGATGATTAGTGGCAATTTTGCAAAAAACGGAGGCTTCTTTCAAAAAAATTGTCCGCTCAAACGCCTCTGAGCCCGTTTTCTCAAAACTTCATCTTTGCACTTAAGCGTCCAGTCCACTTAAAAACTGAGGCTCTCAAAATGGCACCAACTCTTCTACTGTATATTTCTCAGCCATTTCTGCACGGAATTCCTTGAAAATTTCACGATCTGATCTGTGATGTATTTCGAACACATCGGTTACCTTCAAAGATCGTCGGCCCAACGATCTTTGAAAGGCAACAGTCAACAGTTCCATCGATGAGCCTCTTTGAAGCCCCTAGTTTGAAGGTGCGCTGGACGCTTTACTGCTCTCTTCGCTATCAGAGCAGAGCAGTGTACCAACTTGATCTTTTTGATTCGATCTCTTTCAGAAGTTACATGATTTCACCGAATCGATCCAGCTCAGGCGAGCTAATTCTGTTGGTCCGAGTCCACGACAATATAGACATGAAAAATTTTGACTTTCTGGGGGTAGTAAAACTGTTCTTCATGTTCATGGATATGGCACTTGTGCATTACGGGACCAGTAACGGCGTCGTTATCATCTACGACTGTGAACCACTTAACTTCTCCATCGTCCGCCGAGTGCAAGTTGGAGCGCTTAGAACACTTTTCTTCTATATCCAGGTCGGTACAGATTGTCCGTGTTACAGTCCAAACCAAAAAAGTGTGTTTTAAACGCGAAAAAAACTGTTTTAAAGGTCGTTCAAGTAATATGTAACGCACTTTATCCGATTTTTGACCCCCCCCTTCCCCCCTTGTAACGCACCCCTAATGCAGCCCTGTACCCCCCCTTTTTTAATTATGTACCTAACGCTGGCCTGAACCACCCCGCCTTCATTTAAAGAAAATCAAGAAAACGCTGAGAAAACAGCTTGAAAAAATTCGGGTATTTTTAAAAGATATTTCGCTGAATTACGACGCCAAAAAGATTCATTCGAGAAGGGTGGGGTTTTCAATTGGACGTATTTCTGTCACACGGAACTATGTGCACTAAGACATGAGCCCTGAGACCCATCAAATATATGCATAACAGGGCTCACGTTATAATGCAAATAGTTCCGTTTGGCAGAAATACGTCCAATTTTTGCCCTGCGAAAGGCACTTAAGATTGCGCGAAAAAGGCACAAGGATTGCGCGAATAGAAACCTTGACATCTGCTGTAGGAAAGAGCGAATTTATAATGAGGTTAATTTAAGGTAGAAGTTTGGCAAAACAGGAAAGAGTTGGAAAATAAACGCTAGTTAAGGTTAATTTGTTGATAAGTCATCGATGTCTTACCTTCTTATGATAAATGAAGTGAAAAGATTTGAATAATAGTCGTGGGTATAAAGAACTTTCCTAACTTTTCTCGGGAAAAATATTAAATCGGGAGAAACGAGGCAACGTCGGAATGCTCATACAGCGTAGAGGCACAACATGCGCCTTTAAAGCTCTATTATTTGATGCCGCGAGTTCGAATAATCGCGCCAGACAGTGCGGTCGGCATCAAACGTATATTAGCGCCTGCAAGACAGAATGAATACTTCTCGCATTGCGCCAAACGCAGTGCAGTCGGTCAGTTGGCGAGAAACGCATAGCGCCTACCTGGCTGTAGGAATGATAGGACTGCTTGTCATCATTCTTGAATGGAATGTTGAGACCCGGAATGAATGTTCATTCCAGGTTATTTTACAGAAGATTTCAGTTAAAACTAGTTTTTGACATCAATAAAACCTTGAAAATTTTATTTTCATTGCGTTTTCAAGAATGTTTTAAGGCTACTTCCGGTCGCAATTCGTTTTGGAAAGGAAGTCTCAGCAAAAATCCAATAACCTTGTTAAGACTATTGACGGGCCAAATTTCGCCTGCTTATGCCTCCCACAATATTGTCATTTGCCTCGACATCCATACGTTACAGACCAACTGGACGGCGCACAGTGGATCGAGTCAAAAGGAGAGGTCGGACAAAATTTGGAGACTTTAAACGCTCATAACTCCGTTTATACAAATTTTAAGGTTCTGACAGCGGTTCCATTGGTTTCCTCGTAAAATTTTCTTCAGAGCGCACCTGTAGAAATATAAAATGTGACGAAATAAACACCAAAATTTGCAGTTTCAATAAAAAATCCCATGTCCGACTTCTCTAATTGACTCGATCCACTGTGCGGCGCGCTGCAAAATGACGCAAAGAGAATCCAGCTTTTTTCACTCATTTCAGAAACTACGTGAGCTATACACTGATTTCCTTAATCAGATAAGAATCCTCATGAAAAAGCCAGGAAAGTTGGCACCTCTGTTCGTAATGAAGTCAAAATGATGACGCGATGCAGATGAAACGCCTGAATGCAATTGGACTACATTTTGCAATTAGGAACTGCAAGTTCTGGCTGATCTGTAAAATCACGTATGTGCATAGGAAAACTAAGGAATATAAGTTGTTTCTAAACTAATCCAGAAATCGTAGTTTGTAAGTGGAAAATGTAGTCCAATTGATGAGTATCCTCATGAAAAAGCCGGGAAAGTTCGCACCTCTGTTCGTAATGAAGTCAAAATGATGGCGCGATGCAGATGAAACGCCGCCTGAATGCAATTGGACTACAATTTGAATAAGTACTCTGTGGATGTCCTCGCTGGAAAAAAAACACATTGGATCTAGAGTCAAGACTCTTAAAAACATCGACAAGAAAAAGTACTTTTGATTCAATCAGAATCTAGCTTAAATCAAGAATCAAGCCTCTTAATTTAAGCAGATTTCGTTTTGATTCAAGCAAAAATCCGATTGAATCAAGAGTATTTTTTCTTGTCAATGTTTTCAAGAGTCTGGACTCTAGATCCAATGTGTTTTTTTTTTTCCAGTGCTCGTTGCATTAAAACAAAACTGAAGATCTTTTGTCTCCCCTAACGCCCTTTGCCTCTGTATAGAATTACCACTTACGACGCGCTGTTGAAGAAACGCTGCATGCAACTATTCGTCCTCTGCGGATGTCCATAATGCATACAGACAAAACGGAAGGCGCTATGACTTACCTTGAGCTCTCTAAGTTAGTCAGCACAGCAGGCATCGCACTACTTGCGACGCGATGTTGATGAAACGCCTTCATGCAACTATTCGTCCTCTGCGGATGCCCGTGTTGCATACAAACAAAACTGAAGGCGCTCTGGCATGTCCAACAGTCTCAGCGCCCAGGCATCGCACTTACGGCCCATGAAGTTCCATTCCGCGTACTAATAATTGATCGCGAGACATCCGAGTAGTATTGACTTAAATGAAAAAAAAAAAAAAAAAAAAAAAAAAAAAAAAAAAAAAAAAAAAAAAAAAAAATGCCAAAGAGCGAAACGTATCTCCGTTTGCGACGTTGCAGACTTCCTGTCTAACTTTATTTTACCTTCGGAAAAATTGGTCATTGTAATTTCTGGGAAATTTCCTTGATTTTTCTGCTCTCAACAGAGTATTCTGTATAAATTTCAAGCTGTAAAGTTGTTTTCCTCGAGAAAATAAAATTGGAGCAGCAATTTTGAAACATCGCAATGAAGATACGTGGTTTCGAACTTTGACCATCTATACAGTATAGGAGGAAATTAGGGCGAGAAAAGTTACCTACAGAAGAGCAATTAACATGAAAATTGTTTTAAATTGTAAAAATCGTTTATAATGATGTAAAAAGCGGAGTAAACAAAAGAAGATGCGACATAAAAACGATTAAGTTATGAGGTTTCAGAGCCTAACCATATCAAGTTGCTTCAAAATTGTATTTTCATGAACTTTTCAGAAATAAAATTTTACTGTTTGAAACGCACAGTCTGGGATTGCAAGTTGTTCCTAAATCTGACTCGTAAAATGTTTATGTTACAGGAGGCTGTTTCCTTCAAAGTGAATGCAATTCACTTTTTGAATATTAATGGAGCTTTCAACTTTCTATTTGATTTATTTAAACCACTTGTCATCGCTAGTTTAAGAAATAAAGTAAGTTTCTTACATATTTTCACAATAAAAAATTTCTCAGATAACCATTGAGGGGAAGGGGGGGGGGTTGATTTTGCAATTCCAATGCATATGCAGTTGCTTCTAGATTTATTGGGACCTTTGAAACTTAAAAATTTACTTGGCTATTATTTTTTGTGTTTTAACGAATAAGAGATTACTTTCTCAAAAAGGCTACTAGAAGGTAACCACTCAAAGTTGAACTGTCCTCAGAGGTAATGGGTCAAGGAAATGGGCTGTATCCGCTGTTTACATAAAGGCTGTTTAAATATTAGCTTGTAAGAGATGACTGTGCCAGGAACGGTAACAGTTGAGCTTGGCTGACTGATGAAAAAGAAAATGTAAGTAAATTTTTACCCAACTGGCTATAAGGCGGACTATTTCAGCCAAATCTTTGATGGGAAAGGGATGTTTCGGAGGGCAAAATTTCATTAAATTCCGTGGGGAAATTTTGGTCCAAACAACTTCGAAAAAAATCTCCTAGAAAAATTCCGAATATTCATCCATCTTTTCGACTTTCCGCGAGACGTTTCAAGAGCGAAGAGAGAAAAGAAAAAAAGTGCGAGTGCAAAATTAATCCCGGATTGCATAAAACGTTTGGCCGGACCGTACTTTTCCCAACCCTGATTCCATTTTCATGTATTGCTAAAAATCTGCTTCACTCAGAATGATAGACAGCAGAATTAGAAAAGATTATATTCGAAGAGAGGAAGAAGGGAAGGAGAAGAAATTGGGTATCTGGCGATGTTATAATGCAAATAAACAATTTTTGGTTTGTTTTCCACAGCTACACTTACACAGACCAGGATCGACAACCCTTTACGATCATTTAACCCCTAACTTAGTGCCTAAACAATTCGGTGGAGAAGATGAGTCAACTCTCGAACAGATGCAAGGTATGGAAGCATTTCAGTCAAACACAAAGAAAGTTTGGGTACATTTTACGTGACCCACTCTATTTTAATGTAGAGAAAGATTAGTCCAGAGCTTAAGAGTGAGGTGGAACTTACATTTCATTCTCACAATTTTCAACCAATTCTTTCATTTTTCTCTCTTTTTTGAACGGGGTGAAACTATTGGACTACTGGATTGGGACGTCCCGTAAAGGGGTGGCGGCATTTCTGCATTTTTACCATCAATATGTTTTTCAATTCAACTGTACGTTTTCTTTAAAAATATTCTCTTTGTTCTGTCTATGTATTAATGTTTAATGACACTTCGTCACTAATACTTTTGAGTTCAAAAATATTTGTGTTCAATTGCAACTTTAGATTTTACCCAATCAAAGTTTTTTTTAAATTTTCACACAGCAATCAGGCAGAGAAAAAAAAGAATAACATCATTTATCTATGCACACGCATAGCTGTAGTAATAGTGCATAACCACATATTTCAACTTGCGACAATGCAGATTTCCTGTCACATATTAGTCTTACAAATATGAACCAATCACAGTTATTGCACTTAATTTAGCATGATTATTTTGTGCACTTCGAAGAGTTATCTCTAAAAATTTCTTCCAAGAATAGCCAATGTTATTCTCTTACAAATATAAACAAAGACTGGAAATTTTGAATCACAATAGTCTAGGTACATTATTCCCATCACTGCGCAGGTACGCAGTTTCACCATTAGTATTTGCTTTAATTTATTTGATTGTTATCTTTGACTGCTCTTGTTTCAGAGAAAAGCAAGGAGCTTCTTAAAACATTTGAGCCTTGGTTTAAACAAGAAGAGGAATCACTTGTGACGTTCATGCAAGGTTTGAAGTTAGAAAAACAGCAAAGTGGCGGTTGGTTTTTTTAGACGGTTAAACTTTAATTGGAAGATCCCTCCTTCGGGTCTTTGATCTCAACGACAACCCTTAATGAAAGAGAGAAACCTCAAGAGAGGAATACCTGATAAAATTGTCAGACCATGGAGTCAGAATGTAACATGACACTACACTGCTCTGCACGTAATGCAGAATACCAAATTAAGAGTATATCTCTTTCATCTTGAACGAAGAAATTGAAAAGTTATGCATTCAATTCTTTCTCTACCTCAATAGGGCTTCGTCTCCACGTAATGTTTTCATGCGATTTGTACGGGGGAAAGTTTCTCTTGCAAAGTTGGGACAAATATTGACTGACTCAATATTAATTGCAATGTCAGGTAAGATCCATATACTACTTGGAGACATCAAAGACCAACTGAGAGCTGGAGAGGTGAAAGCAAATCGTGCAATAATTTGTTGTTTAGTCAATTGCTCGTTTCTCCTTTATTCAAATAATTTGCTCGATCGTTGATTGGGTTAAATTATTATTTTAATGCCATTTAAATACTTGATTTTTACTAAAACTTCCTGAGCTAGCTTATTGCAGGAACTAGAGAGCCTTGTCCTGTGGAGACAGTTACTGTGAAAAATCTTCTAAGTTTCATTCCAATGATTCAACTCTGGGACAAATCTCATGAAAACGTCCCAATGAGACGAGGCCTAAGCATTTACAGTTCTTAGAGGACCACAAGACAAGGCGCTAATTTGGACACTTTGATACATGTTTTCTCTTCAAAACTTCACGCAGAACAGAAAAAAGACGAAAGTAATAATAATAAAAAAATTAAAATTGTATTTATGTAGAAAATGACGTTTTCAAATCTGTCTTACATACTTGAATCAGGTTTATGTCCCCTTTACAATACGACTAGTTGCACACAACGTTTAAGAGGGACAAAAGCTCGAGTCAGTAAATAAAATTAAGAGTTTTGTGATTCTTCAGAATTATGAAGAATTTGAGCACAACAATAGCTGACAGATGATCTACAATGAATATGATCATCTTACAAGAGCATGAAAATATTTTCATAGAACGGTATCAGATATCTTCTCTTCACACCATGAAACTTGTAAAAATTATACTTGAACTTTTACGCAAAATGATGGAAATTCGCAGAAAACCTCATTCTGTGAGGTAGTCAGTAAACAAAAGCTCTTGATTTCAGAGTAATTTTAAAAATTTGTAAAAGTGTGAATACTTCAGTTTCATTTAGGCAAGCTTGCTTAAAGCTTTGAATAAAATATTTTTTTAATTTCTGCCGTGTTAGGGAAGAACGCCGTATGAACATTCAAAAGTTGCCAAATTTCCTGCGATAAAATGTTCATTTTTACAGAACATTATGAAGATTTTTCCTTGAAATTTTCAGGTATTTCAAGTGAAATTGCGAACAAAATTATCTGAAAAATTGGAAGGAAAATAATCACAAGTTTATCAAGAAATTCGCGATTTATCGAGGGAAATTAGGCAACGCCTGCAGATTTATGCGGCGTTTTTCCTCAGCACGGCAGATTTCAGCTGTTCCACAGCACTTCATTCAGCACCAAAATTTATAAGTATTAACCTTTGATCTGACAGCAAACTTTGGTAACTATTCAAAAGTACGGAGCGATTTGAATTCTGAGTTACTTACCTACAACAGCTAAGATTATTTACAAGAGTGCATGGAAAGTTTGTGAAAATAGGTGGGTAGTGATAGATAAGACTCAGAAACATTACTGGATCAACACTACGAAGGCAAAAGGAATTTTTTGGTGTACTCCACAGCCAGGAACAAGGCAGCTGAGGCTGGAATTGTTCGGACTAGGCATGGTCGCAAACCGCTGTACAGAGCTTGCACGCCTAAAGCAAACAAAATTGAGCTGAATGTTAAAAAAATGTAAGGTTAAAATTGTTAATAAAAATAAGAGGAAACACTTAGATAAAATTAAACAAAATTAGACTCTCTCATTTATGATATGAGATCAGTACTTTAAAAACAGGTCCAACTTTTGGGAGCGCTCGCCTTCTCTTCCTTTGTTTTTTGGTAAAATTATGAAAATATTGTTGGAAATGGCTCATTTTAGTAATTACAGAGGGATTTAAAAATTGACTGGGTTTGCGGCTTATCTAATACCACTAGAGAAAGTATGAGGAGGAGTCCTTTATCACTTTACTGCAAAGCGTCTGACCAGAAACAAACGCAAAATTCATTTTGTGATCAAGTGATCTTCAGAATTTTCAATTTATTTCACTGCAGATTAGGTGTAACTCATTAAAGTTCTTCAATTAAAGTCCAGTAACAAATGCCAAGTACTCTTCTTTTACAGATACCATCTAATTTCAATTTCTGATTAAAAATTAAAGGCATGTGCATATAAACTGCCACAGAGACTTGACTCGCTTTTCAAAATTCTCAAAAATAATGCAAAATTCAAAATAATTATTATTGTGTGGTCGAGTATAATTTATGTGATGTAGCTTATCTGCGTATTCAATTATTTTTTTTTAAATCAAATGCGTTTTTTGGAGCAACAAAAACAAAAAGCACGCATACACATGACTAGAATAAAAATTCAACCCAAAGTTGATGGAATACTTGATCATTATTTTGATGATACTTTACATGCCTCAAATAATCATATTTATTCCAAAATGGAATGCAAAATTACCTTCAGCTTTGATAATGTCAATCATGACGAGGACAAAATTTTTTGTCGCAGTTGTCTGAACTTGTGTTCTAGATTTGACAAGATCAAATGGGTATATGACAGTCCACAAACTTAAGCCACCAACAGCACCCGCAACTATTGTTCCTAGTGGGCCTGAAAAATTGTACATGAAAACAAAACAGTTAAAAACCAATATATTCCTTGAGTTAAAGATGAGCGACGCAACCTTCTTTGTTGTTCAATTTTGCTGGTTTGAGCTTGTATGTAAGTAGATTTTAAGTGTATTTAAGTGTCACGATTAACAACCGACCGTGATGGTAAATACAATATCATAGGAAAGCTGTTGGAAAAGAACATGCAGCCTCTAAGAAACTTGCCAATATGTTAAAAACTGTACAATTTGAAAACATTAAAATCCCTCGGCTGACGATAATTGGTTGAGGTAGGCAGTCAATTTTCGATAAATATTTTTTCGGAAAAGATGTTAGCAAAAAGAGGTGCTGAATTGCTATTAATCAGAAAATCAATATGTAAACTCGTACAGTTCCCTGGAAATATTGCAATAAGTCCCTGAGGACTATATTTGCACTCAACTTGTCAATACATAATTCAAAAAAAAAAAAAAAGTGAAAGAAACAAATATTTTCGCTTACCGCACTCCTCTTTAGGTCTTCCTGGTGGTGCTAGAAGAAGTCTGGTTCCTTCATATCCTGCGAAGAAAAAAAAATATCCAGGCATCTCTCGAGCAATGGTGGAGCCTATACCTCGAAAGAATCCTTTGAAACCTTCCTCTCGGTAGATTTGTCGTGTTAAGGTGAATCCATTGATCTTTACATTCTAAGGAACAAAATAATTACATTACTTAATGAACTACAACACAGTGCACACTTAGTTATAATAAATAACGCCTGTGTATTGAATTATGTAATATTCAAGTTATTTTAGTGTTATTTTCCCTCGTACTTTAAATACGGCAGAAAATTAGTTAATGCTGGTACATTGAGTATATATTTCCACTATTGCAGTATCATTGAGGTAAAGGTTTGAAAAGTTTGCTTTGGTGGAAAGTGCGTTCTTGAATTCCCCACTGATCACGGGCAATTTCGTACCAAAATGGCGGCCGGTGGAATTCCACCAGTGGTTCCACCGATCAGAAAAAGAAAACCCCTTTACACAATCCTCAATTGTTAAACACAAAGTATCTGTATGGAAATGACGTGATAATGATTCATACCTGACTAGATTTGTTTGAAGCTTTTGTCTCTTGAGCTGCCTGTAGACGAACTTTGATCAATTCAGTCGGACAAAGAGTGAAAGAGGAAAAAAACGAAGCAAAGCACCCTGCCATCCCGTTTCCAAATATTCCTAGTTCCTCTGTTGTCTGAAAAACAATGAATTACTATCATTAACACGGGTTTAAAGCAGCAATTTCCAGTGGCCCTTAAAGGCTTGTAAAAAAGTACTTGAAAACTCTTGTCACAAACTTGTCAGGGGCAACTGACAACAAATTTTAGCTGTAAAAATTATAAGTTGGAAATATTTTTCCAACCTTCTCGGTTGCTGTAAAAAAAATAGTGCATTTTTTGCATTAAGTATAACATTTGAATCCCGAAAAAATTGTTGTTGGCCTGTGTCCTCTTTACTCAGCAAGAAAGTGGTCTACAACTAAAAGAGTTTGGGAGCTATTATGTCTAAAAGTTAAACTCACTCATTTTTTTCTGCAGGTAAAAAATATTTACTAAACATTAAAAAAAATTTATGGTCAATTATATTTTTAAGAATTGTGGGGAATTTTAGAAGATTTGACCTGATGTGTTAGAAAGATACTCCTTGGAAGATACGAGGAGAAAGAAAAGTATTTCGAAATTTAGATGGGAAAATCTGAGAAATTCACGACTGCTTATCTTTGATAAATGGAGAATTGAAATTTTTTTTGACTTCCATTGTATAAATGATAGACAAAAACCAGAGGAAATAGTTTATGGACGTGGGCTTGGAAAAAATAGCTTGACTATGAGAACTTTCAAGTGTGACAAAATTAAACTGCATTAAGGGACATACAATTTAGCTATCATTCTTGTTACGGGACAAAATCAATCAGAGGTTCATAAGATAAACTCTCTGGCAAAGGTTGATACGTATTAACACGTGAGAGGAGATTAAACAAGATATCTTACTTTGTGACTTTTTGCCAAAATGTTTTATCAGTTTCAACCAAGTTATGCTAGGTATACCTTACATTCAATATGATGCAATAACATCATTTCGTACATCAACAGGAAAATGGAGAAAAATGCTACTTTTACACATTCACACAGCGTTTAAGGTAGTGAATGAGGTAGTAGGCAGTTGGGAACCAAAACAAAGAATTGATTGGACCAACCTTCAGAGAGCTTATGAACTGCCTAAATACTTTTTCAGGAAACTTCTAGCTAAACCCATGATAATTTTTGTGCAATGTCAAGTAAGTAGATGTCTACTAATATTTGAGATTCTCAGACTGTTAAAGCTGGTAATTCTTCTGAGGAAGTGTCTACCTAATGTGCATTTGTCAGGAAAGTGTTGTAATGTTATCGTAGTTTTTGGAATCTCTCCTTACCTGAATTTTTGCTTGCCCTGCTTATAAGCAGGGACAGCTTTTATTTCTACAATTGTGGGTGTATATGTTACATTTCATTTGAACGAGATGTACCAAACTGGGGCTACTTTGTTATAAGTTATGTTACGGCAAGAGTCAAACCTTATTTACAACACCATTCATCCATGCCTGGTTAATGGTTATGACTTCTTGCTGCCCTAGCAGGGCAAATAGAATTTTTCTGACCCCTTGATGATGGTAGTATGGTAGAAATTATGTTATATCAAGGGAGTTCCAGAGGGTCTCTCCTGCCTAATTTCGAATAACTAAAATCTTTTCTGAGTAAATTTGATCTATATTTCATCAAATATTACAAGTGTAGGGAGGTAACTGTTACTTGGGAAAAAAAATTCTACATGCATTTTTTCCTCCTCTAAAATTAGCCGCCTCTCTACGACTGCAATGGTTGTCTGCCCACTAAATCCAGGTATGCATTCATCAATTATGCCATCTGAATGCTTACATTAACCTCTTGAGAGATGCTGATTCTAGACCATCTAAAGATTGACTTTTACCTCAATATACAATTGGCAAGCTTTAATCAGAGCTTTGCATTAGTCAGAGTGTAAACATACCTTGTAACCACAGCAGTAGGCGACTGATCTTTGGACTGCACCGTAACATAAAAAAAGTACAGAGTTTTCGGCTACATTGGCAGTTACTGCTGGCATAGATCCGGCATATAAACCTCTTAGTCCTTCAAATCGGTAAATTTTCTTGAGACAATCTGTCATTCCTTTGAACTCAGTTGGACTGGTTTGCATTTTTACTTTTACCGTGTCCAAGGGCTGGCCTACTAAAACGGTAGCTGCACCTCCTGAGGGAAAAAGAATCATAAAATAATGTTAGATTTAAGTTATTCCGGTATGAGCAAAGATGAAGATATATACTTGCAGAGAGGGAAATCTTCTAGGGTAAAGTCTAGAAATTCATTTGCTGGTAATAACTTAATCTTGTAGGTAAATAAATAAAACCTGATAGTAATGAATGCTTTGTTACCGCTTAAACTTAGAAGCATTACAAGCATACGGAATCAAGACGTTCAGTCTTGGTAATACTGCTGGAGCTTACCAACCTTCTTTTTTTCAAGTAAAATTTTCGTCTCTCTTTCAAAACAGGTTGCTTGATTTAAAACGAAACAATTGCGTAAAATTCTGTGTTAACACATTTGGTAAAATTCCTCCAAAAAAGGCCATACAATTCTGGACCAGGACTCAAAGCAAATGAGTGTTTTTGGGAGTAGTGCCCAGTTCTTAATTTAAAAGAGGTCCAAAAAACAAACTAAACTGATGTGAACCAATGCTATCCAATGATTTGAATTTGTTTTTTATGCACGTAGTTTACAAATCACAGAGAGAATAACTAGCAATGGGCACGATTGTTTTGGCTTTCTCAATGTCTAAGATAGGACGATTTAAAGAAAATCAAAATTTTCCGATACAAACGGATGGTTGAACGATAGTCTTAAAAACAACTTAGCAAGTTATATCTGAATCACTAAATACAAAAAGGGCACATGTCCAGAAAACCAAATTGTTCAGGAGACACAAAAAACTGTTTATTTCGTGGCAGATATTTTTTGGAAAGTCGTTATGTTTAAAAAATACACATGCATGGTTTTTTTAAACATAACGACTTTCCAAAAAATATCTACCACGAAATAAACAATTTTTTGTGTCTCCTGAACAATTTGGTTTTCTGGACTTGTGCCCTTTTTGTATTTAGTGATTCATCTGACTCTGTAAATTGCCTTTTCAAAATAAAACAAACTTATGAGAATTTCTACGTTGAGCGCTTCACAAAACAATGCACTCAAATATGCGGAGGACAGGGTGCATTAGCGCCCTGTCTAAAGATTAGGACTAATATTAAATGACTGATATTTGGAAACATCGAACCTTTAGAGCATTCAAAATGGATCAAAATTTCACTCCTATCAAACCAGCCTGTGAGAAGCTTGTTCACATTTTTTCAACAACACATGGCTCCTGTTGACTTACTTGCCTATTTCTAATTTCAAGGGCTATGAAAAATCCTAAAACTAAGCATGAGGCTTCCAAAGAGGTATTGACTAAAATTGAAATGAAAAACAAATTACAGTGATCCCGAACGGTTAGCTGATATTTCTCGGACGGATTTCTAGTGACAGCTTGGTTCAGTTCAGATTGCTCCCTTGAGGGATGGCGTAAACAGGTGATAAAAAAAGGCCAGAAAATAAATAGATAATATACCTATCGTCCCAGCTAGAAAATTTACAGCATGAATTCTGGTTTCAGAGTGTTTTCTGGCCTCTGAAGAATTGGAAACGTCGTTTCCAGACGAGTCAGATGATCCAGCACCATGGCGTGTACTTAAGCCGGAATCATGCATCCTAAACCTTAAAATTACTGTACAAGACCAGAGTTTCACAAAATAAAGACACCGAAAACGCAGAAATTGCTACTATCGAGATATTTTGACGCGAAGATAACCAAACTTCGATCACACGACAAGAGAAAGCACAAACACGAGTTCAAACCGGGACATGCTACACGCTTGCGTTATCAGCAACTACCGAGATAACCTCAAACTGATTGATTTACAAACATGAAACTTGACAACAGCGTTGAGGGCTACAGGTATCCATGGTTGCCAATGTGTATTTTACTGCTAATTTTTTATTGCGTCATTTTATACTGATAAGGTGATTTTGGTGATATTAGACAGAGCATACACGAACACAAGTAGCATACTGAAGAGCAGACTGATACATGAAAAATAAATCAGGCGAAATACTTGGCTGGCCGTCAAGGTATCTTATTTTTGAGCTTTCGAAAAGAGAGAGTAGGTAGGTACCTCAAGGACCTAATCTGACCATTATAACTCCTCAAAACCATAATCGGTAGAAGATCGGGACGTAGGATTTGCAAGTGGAAGAGGTCCCCCC